GAAAGTCCCAAAGCACTCATTACTAACCAATGTGATGTGTAGAAAATATGCAAAGTTTGCATTTTTCTACTCTAGTGTAAATTCCCCCATATCTTAACCAATATTAGATTTGAACCTTTTTAGATTTTTGTTAGTCTGATAAATGAAATTCAACTCAATCTGACGATGATACCTGACTATTATGAAAGCTTTTTGGTATTTTTTTTATTCTACAATAATTGCCTGTCACATCCTGGATCTATTTTCTAGTGAATTATCTTTTTCCAATTGATTTTCAGAATCTTTCCCTATGTACTCCACATTTATTGTTGAAAGAATTTTCTCCAGGTCTGGCCCTCCCTGGTGGCGCAGCGGGTTAAAGCACAACACTGAGAAACTAAAGCCACTTCCGCATGAGTTCGATTCCCACCTGCCCCGGAAGTGGCCACATGGCATGGCAGACCTCTCCTGACCCGCCTACTGCTCCCCTCAGCATTGTACTTCGTAGATCTGCCTGTTCTGCTCCCCACTCTGTCTCTGGTGAAGCCTCTAGCCGCCCCTGAGCCTCTGGCCTGTACCCCAGTTCTGTGTGCGCAAATATATCTTTAAAAAAATATATTAAAAAAAAAAAAGAGAATTTTCTCCAGGTCTGATTTTGTCTTTAAAAATGTATTAAATGCAGAACTTTTGAATGTTTGGGTTGTCTGATTTGTAAATCTATTTTTTTGTCTGATTTGTAAATCCATTTTTTTAAGCCACTGGGTTGTGTCACACTAAGAAAGACTTTCCTTATTTAGAAAATTTTGAAAATAGTGTTCTTTTTTGGAAAGAGCTCTATGAAAAAAGATCCATTTGGGAATGTGTTACTCGTATATGTTATGAAATAGGAATATAAATGTGCTTTTGTTTTCTCAACTTAATAGTTTATTACCCAAAAAAAATTATGGAAGGGTTCATCTTTTCTCCAGTATTTTGAATCAAAGCTTTTATTATATACTCAATTTGCATATTTACTCAGAACTTCTCTGTATTCTCTTCTAATCAGTTTGCCTATTTCTTTACCAGAACTTACTCTTTGAATTACTGCAGTGTCATAGTACAAGTTTATATCTTTCAGGACAAGGCCTCCTAATTATTTTCAAAATTGTCTTTTCTCATGCATTTACTCTCCTAGATAAATGTTAGAATCAATCTGTAACAATAAGTAACAAAGAAAGATTTTAATTCAAATTTCATTAAGATTCTTGGTGAAATTAAATACTTTTTTTGTTATTGAGCCTTCCTATCCTGGTACCTACCATAAATTCACTTATTAAGTTTGTGTGTATGTTAAATTTTAAGTGTTCTTACTGAATTATATTGTCAGAAGAGTGCACAAATTATCAATATAAAGCTGGATTAATTTTTTTTTAAAGATTGATTTGTTTATGCATACAGAACTAGGGTTTAGGCCAGAGGTGCAGGGGCCATGAGAGGCTTCACCAGAGACAGAGCAGGGAGCTGAACAGGCAGATCAACGAAGAACACTGCCGAGGGGAGCAGCGGGCGGGTCACGAGAGGTCTGCCAGGCCATCACTTCCAGGGCTGAGGATCACACTTACACTGAGGCGGCTGTGGCCAGCTTGTAGTGCTGCATTCTAACCCGTAGTGCCACCAGGGAGGGCCCTGGGTTAATTTTTATAAAGCAAACATTGGCATAACCACACCTAGAGGAGAAACAGCTCATTACCTAAACCCTGTAGTCTTCTCCCATCTGCTCTCCTTTGTAACCATTATGTGATTTCACCACAGAATCATTTTATCTGACTTTGAATCAGATAAATGGACCATTTCAATATACTCTATTGTGCTGGATGTCTTTTGCTTGGCATTTTATTTCTGGGATTCATCCATGTATTTGTAGTTCGTTCATTCCAGTAGTCAATTCCTTGACCTTGTATAATGATTCATGGCACAAGTATTGTCCAACTTCACCTGCATTCTATTGTTTGTGAACATAGGACTATTTCCTCTTTGGGCTATTTATTGATAATAAATTACACCTACAAGTACACATATGTAAATGCCTTCTGGTATATATATGTCACATTCTCTTGGATACATATTCCCTTGTAGGATTGCTTTATCATAGAATAGTGGTGTGTTTATAGTAGACACTGTCAAGTAGTTTTCAGAGTGGCTGAATAAATAGATCTATCAGCTGAATAAAATGGTTGCCCCACATCCTTGTTAGCACTGGACTTTTGCAGTTTTTTTTCATCTTTGACATGTAGAGTAGACTTAACCTAAAATATGAATGACACACTTGTGCTATGCCTGTTCAAGTTTGTCCATTTTTAATTGGACTGTGTCTTTTAATTGATTTGTTAGATATATGCACTTTGCCTAAATTCTCCCACAATTTGTCTTATCTTTTCCCTTTGTTAGTGGTGCATTTTATTTTAATGAAAATCAACTGATTAATAGTTTACATTTGTGCTAGTAGTATTGATGTCCTGTTTAAAATTATGTAGCTATCCCAAGGTCCAAAAAATGGTCTCATTTGTTTTGTTTGCATATGGCGTGTGACAGGCATTCAATTTGCTCATGTTGTGTTAAGGGTTTTGTATCTTTGATTGTATTTTTCTTGCAATTTTTTCACAGAAAACTTACACTGCCCTAGAAGAGATATTGTTAGTATTCTCTTTTTTTTCTGCTCACTAACAGACGTTTTAGGTTTGGCATTATTTGTTCCTTAAATGTTAAAATAATTTAATGATTAAATCCATATTCAACACTTCTTTCTTGGTTCTTTATTTCTCTTGTTAACTTGTCCTGAATCTTGGTGGATAAATTATAGGTGTTGAATTTTTGTTTTTGTTTAATTCTTTTTCTTCTGAATATTCCTTTATTTACTTTGACTTAAAAATTACCTAATCTCATAGTTGTTTCTTTATTTTTTCAGATTTAGACATGTTTTTAATATAAAGAATTAATTCACCCTGGCAATTTGTTCCTTCTCTTATCTGTTCTGCTCTCTGCCTTTCTTAAACAGAATGAGATCTCAATCACTTCTTATAACTTCCTAACCCTTTCCCCATCTTTGACTGAAATCATGAAGAATTTTGTCAATTTGTTCCTTCTTTTATCCTCTCTGCTCTCTGGCTTTCTTAAATAAAATAAGACCTCAATCACTTCTTATATCTTCCCAACCCTTTCCCCATCTTTGACTGAAATCATGAAGAATTTTGGCTTAAGAGTTTGTTCAATCATGCCTCATCTGTCTTCACAATTTTTTCTTAACAATCGTGTTAAGCTTACTTGACACACTACTGCATGTTTAAAAAAATAAATTCTTTATTTATCTTTATTTATCATTATATCCTGTAAGCAGTATTGTTCCTTTTTGTGATTCAGTTTTTACTTTGATGGCAAATATCCACAACTAATAATTTTTTTTTTAAATAAAGAGAACAGTGGTTACTTCTTTCATGACTGAAATGTCTTCATTTTGGTCTACACTTGAATTATATTTTTGCTAGGGATTGAGATTATTCATTTATAGTCTTTTTCTCTCACAACTCTGAAGAGCCTGAGTCATTGTTTTTAAACTTTGGTGTTCCAATTTATAGTAAATATAATTCTTACTACTGTGTTGATGACTTCCTTCCCCTGCCCCCACCAGAAAGATTATAGAATTCTCTTTTAGATTATGGAAGTTCATGAACTATAAAACCCTAAATAGTAAAATCTTTTTTTGATATTGATGAAAATTTTCATAATTTTATTTTATGCCATCATTTTATAATTTTTTTCTTTTGAATTCCTAGATGAATTTTGACTCTCCTGTAGTTAGTTATTTTCTTGCCTCTTAATTTCACCTTTATAGTTTAAATTTTTCATAGCTTTCACTGCCTTTTAGGGAAAATTATTTCCAGATCATCTATTTGTGGTTTTATCTATGTTCATCATAACACTCAACTCTTTTCTTCAGTGTTTTAAAATAATGTTTCTTCAATCATTTATCATTTGCAGAATCTTCCTTATTCTCCTATTTTACCATTTCCAAAGAAATCTGTTCTTAAGGGTACATGCAGTTCTCTAGTCTGATCAATGATATTTTTATGATCTTTAAATATTATTCATTGGTTTTGAGTTAATTGTTTGTTGGGGCATTGGGGTTTTGGGGAAGGGGAAGGGGAAAGGAATTAGTGACTTCCCAGGTTGCCAGCTGGTGCTTGTTTTATGCTCATATTTTAAATTGTAAGTGTAGATTCATCATTATTCTTAATTTATGGGGATTTCCTTAGACCTTGTTAACACTTAACTGTATGAGACATGTAACACAGCTCACTGTTGGAGTGACGGTTAATGCAGGGTCTGTATGTAGCTTCACCAGGTGTAGTGAGCAAGCAAAGCAGTGCCCCTGAGTACACTTCCTTTCAGGGTGTCAAAGCTGAAACCTGGGAAATGGAGAACACTCTCAAATACCAACATAGAGAAGGTGTTAGCTGAGAGATGGTGCACACTCATTTCACCTTCCATTCTAAACAAGTATGTATCTCTCATTTTGTAGAAAAAAGAAATATGCCAACAACATTTAATTCTAGGCTGCCCAGGATTGACACATAAGACATCTGGATTATATATTACAGAGTAATAACAGTTCTTTATGTGCTAAGGTAAAAAGAAAGGATATGTACCTTGTCCTCCCTTTTTTTTTTTTTTTTATTAATAGAAGTGCTGTCCAGTGAAGATTTTAGTTAGAACATTCTAGGTTTTTCCAAATTCATATTTTTCTTCCATTGGAATCCCTGCATTTAGTGCATTGGTTAGTATCTATAGTAAGGTTACAGCATCAATCCCATGATAGAAATAGTATTCCTACCATTTATTCTAATATACATGTACTTGATTGAAATTGCATTGTTAAGGTGTTACCTGTTAGACTTTTCTGTTATTTAATATGATCCTAAAATTTTTAATTCTCCAAAGAAGAAATGGCAAACTATCTTAATGCCTTTTATTGTTTTTGTTTCTAGCCTATTCTACTAAGCTCAACAAATTTCCTGTATTTAATATTAATGATGACTTGAATGATCTGTGTACCAGTGCAGTAAGCCCAAACACCACCAAAGCCACACGCTATGCCCTGAACGTGTGGCGATACTGGTGTATGACCAACGGGCTCAAAGACCATACGGACATCACCAAGGTAAGAAACCTGAGCTTACTTCTGCCAGCCAGGCTCCCTGAGCTGCCAGGTGCCAGCACTGTGCTGAACATTGTGGGGAACACAGAACAGATGGAAGTACTTTCTGCTTGGGGAAGCTTTGAAAGAAAGAACATAAGCTTTGTAGAAACTCACAGTATAAAACAGAATTGAATGTGTTCTGTAAATATATAGATCAGAAATGCCAAAAAATTTAGATGGACTCATTAATCTCAGCTTGATGAGAGTTCAAAAGAATTCAGATTTGAGGCATGTTTTGAGGGAGAGTTTTGAGAGTTGGTTGAAGGCAAACATCTTCCAGGGTGAAGGCTGTGAGGAAGAGTAAAATTAAGGGGACTAGACTCCCTGTGTGCAACATACAATTTTAATCTATGGGAATCATTGGCTGTAAAACTAGATTCTGATAACCCTTAAATATCAAACTGGTATTTGTGAATATTGGGAGACAGTTGAAGTTTTGTTCTTGTTTGTAAGTAGAGACTTTGTTTGAAGGGATGAGACAAGTGAAACTCAGAATACTCTGACCGTAAGATCTGCAGGGGTTTTAAGAGTTAGGCAAAAAGGAAACCATGGATTTTTTTTTTTAAATAAAAAGGAATGCAGTGAAAGTGCATTTGAAATTGATAAGCAATAATTTATTTAACATTCTTGGTCCTCAATTTCCTCATTTTTAAAATGAGTTCTTGAAATTATTTCTAACTTAAGATATTTGAGGTTTGTAAATGGAAGGGAAAATTCTTGGACATATAGAGACAGAACAGAAATATATATTTTTATTTTAATATAGTGAGTCTAAATCAGATGCATGTCCAGGTGAACATGTCTAGTAAGAAGTAAATGTGGGATTTAAAATATGAGGGAAATGGTAAAGCTGGAGGCATTTATTTGAAGACCTTGAAGTGGAGGTCATATTTGATGGTCAAAGGCAGGTGACTTCACCAAGTGATAACATCAACAAGAGATGAAGAAATCCAGGTTTCAAGTTTCGGCAGGAGCTTTCTGCTGTTTTTGCAGAAAGAAAGGAAGTATACATAGCCCACACCATTCCCCCCAACCAAAAATAAACCCCACAATGAAACTGGAGCAGTGAGAGTAAGCCCATAAAGAGGAAGGGCTCTCACTAAGGGTATGCATTAATCACAGTATCTAGAACAAGAAGAGGCAGGTGAATGAACTGAAGAATCCTTGATTGAGGAGAGGACCCCTAAAGGGACCAAAAGAGGTTTTAGGTTCTTGCTTCTTACACAATCTTACGCTAAGAATCTTTGAAGGAAAGTACCCAAAATGTAAGGTTTTTGCAGGTTAAGATTATCTAAATGTGTTTATTACCAAAAAATAAACTCACAAGCCACTCAAGGAAATCAGTCACCATGAGGGTGAATAGAAACAACAGATTTAAACACCAACAATATTAGACAGTAGATTATAGACCAAGTATTATGAAGTGTGTATAGAAATTACAGGAATATAAAGTGAACATACTAATCACAATGACCCAGCAGATTTGAAAATAAATTGAAATGTCCACTTCTGACCTTAAGGTCTCTCTAAAAGGCTAGAGAATTATCTGCCTGATTTAGCAATTAGGAACCCAGAAGACATGAAATAACCCCTACTGGGCAGAATAGAGCACAGGACTTGACCCCTAAGACAGAGGTAACAGGTGAGAGTAGGCTCCTGTCTCGTAGGCTTCTAGCGTGGAAGGCAATTTCTAGACTGCAGTAAAGGGAGGGGAGCCCCAACTAGCCCAGCAGTCTGGTTGTTGAGTTGAGGGGAGATAGGTATTAGAGTCAGAGAGGCCAAGGACATGAATACTTCTAGAATACTAGAAAAAAATGTTTCAACATCATTGAAAATTTATGATAAGTCCAGAACTTAATATTGTTAAATTCATAATTTCTGGCATCCAATCAAGTATCACTACACGTAGGAAGAAATAGGAACTTGGAACCCTGGAATAAAATGAGCTGAGTCTTTAACTTCCAGCCAATTTGGGGGGGGGGGGGCGGAGACCAGCTTTATGTGCCTGCCCCAAACAACTGAAAAACCAACAAAGGGTATAAAAACATGTTTGCAAGGTGCCACATAAATAAAGGAGGATAGCAATCCTCTGAGAGGCAGGAAATAAGGTGAGCTTTAGGTACCCCAACTAGCTGCCTTGGGAGAGTTTATAGGACTGTGATGCTGGCAGAGATGAGTTGAAGAAATGGAGATGAGAGAACAGAGACCAAGGTGATTGAGTGTCATGACAGTCCTCAAAAGTAGAGTCACACAGGGAGAAAACCAAAGATAGTTGACCTCAAGTATTCAGCTGGCTACTGACAATATAAGCATAAAAGGCGATTCCGTGAAAAGAGCAGTGGTAACAGTACCAGGAGTTCATGCAGAACTGGAGATAGGACATCTTCCCACCAGTAAAACTAGAAAAAATTCAGGATTCATGGAGAAAAGTACTCAGAAAAGTCTTGAATCAGCTGTGGAGAGCAGTAAGCCCTACACTGAATTCATTGTACTCCCACCCAACAAACCTTAAAAGCAAGATCCAGGTAAGTGAAAAGGGGTTCATTAGCACTGATTACCAGGGCAATGCAAATTAAAATCACAGTGAGATATCACTTCACACCTTTGATAATAGAATTGCTGCTATCAAAAAGACAAGAAATAAGAAGGGGATTTGGAGAAGGGGAACCCTTGCGCCCTCCTGGGAATATGAACTGAAATGAGGTGTGACACATACTATGGCATGGGTAAACCTTGGAATTGATAGTCTAAGGGAGTGAGACACAAAGAGACAGATGTAGGGCTCCCTTAACTTAAGGTACTATAATAGTCAAATTCATAGAAACAGAATGCCCAGTGGAAATGACCAGGGGCTCAGGGAGGTGGAACGTGGAGATACTGCTTAATGGGTACAATTTTTATTTGGGTTGATGAAAAAGCTCTGGAAATTAGTAGTGGTGAAGGTTGCACAACACTGTGAATGCACCGTTGAATTGTACACGTAAGATAATGAATTTCATGTCTTGTATGTTCACTCACAGAGAAACAAATCAATAAAAATGTAGCTATTTCACCTTCATGAATAGTCATTGTTAAGTCCACCTATTGGACCCCAGCTTTACTAACCTTAACCTTTTCTAGGCCAGAATGTCTAATCTTTCACACTCTTTGAAGACAGTTGACTGTTATGGGAACCTTCACATTTCTACACAGGAATCTGTGAAAAGAGACTCATTTCTCCTCGCCCGCCATGACTTAAATGAGATCTACATCCAGGTGGTGAAATGTCTCACCTGTCCTGTAGGGTGTACCTTATCATCTCTTCTAGGTACTAGTGTTTGTTAGTTCCCCTGTGTTGTCTAGAAGAATATCTAGAAGTGAGGAGAAAGATGTCTTTCAGTCCTCCATAATCTACTCACACCACCGTTCAAATGAAATAGTTTCAATAATAAATTCATAGAAGGTTCATATCTTGGACAGTTAACCCATGTTTAATAAGGAGAAGAAACGGTGGCATCAAGGCCACTTTCTTGATCTTACTCTAAGGTGATTTTAGCCAAGATTATCGTTAAAGATAGCTCCAGCTGGCTGAAGGAAAGCTCTTGACCATGGTTTGGCACTGGTGAACCTCTAGTTAAATGTTTACTCCAAGCAGAAAGAAATGAGTCAAATCAAGCTTCATAACGTCCTCTAAATGAGTGGCATGCCCATGGTTTCTCTCTGGTCACTCTATTACCAGCTCTGCGTGTTCCCCGCGGTATTGTTTTCCTATAAATTATCACAGTGTGATCTGGTTTTCACTGATCCATCTCCCTGGAGGTTGCAACTCACTAACTTCTGTGTTCCTCAGAGCCACTCATTAGAAAATTGAGTATTTTGAAGTTCAATAAGTAGCATTCTGAATAAAGTAAAATTTGGTACCTACAAAAGTAAACTCATTTTTGTTACCTGCGATGGTACAACATTTATATTCTTTTCCTAGAGAGTACTTGTAGTTCATAAGCATTTCTCCACTTTGTTCACCCCCCACCATATAAGATTGTTACAAAGGGGAAGTTGAGGCAAATTATTGATTTTACTTGTCTTATAATTCTTTTGAAGTGTCCAGGATTGCTGTGTAATTCCAGAATTTGGAAATTTGTCAAGAAATCATACTTTTTCTTATTTTATTCTTTCACACCTGGAGACCCTGGTCCAGCTCTTACTTCTCCTTCATCATTTTCACATCACAGGAGCCAAATCTACAAACCACGGTGAATTTTGACATGGTAAATCAACTTAGAGTGGCTAATGAAGGACAGTGATTTCTTAAAATGTCTTTAAAACAAATTGAAGAACTCAGTAACCTGGAGGAATAACCACCAACCAAAACTCAGTCTGAGAAAACTAAGGAGGCAGGCAACATGGGCCAGAAGGAACAGTTTCTTACATGCAAATAATAGATTGTGAATTGGTATTTCCCCAGAAATCGCTTTGCTGTGATTTTACTTTGAGACATGTGGTCTGCTAGGGAAATGAAAAAAGCATCTGCATCCTAAGTCAGCTTGGTTTCATGATTTCACTCCCAAGACTTAATCTAATTCATTTAGTTCACTTTTGTCAGCTTGTGGGCTATCCATTGTCTATTTCTGGCCTTCTGGTATATATTAAAGACCCAGTCATGTATAGGATACAGTCCTTGTCTTCAGGGATCTTTCACTTCATAGTGCGTCACAGAAATATAAATAGATAAAAAGACTGTGCAATATGGAAAAGGGAAAAAGAAAAAAAATTAAGTTAATTGCATGGATCCCTAGCGATAGTGTAATTTAAGGAAGCTGGGAAAGCCTTTTTTTTTTATTATTATTATAGATAGAATTTGAACTAGATCTGAAAGGAAAACTACTTTCCGAATAAAGATGATTAGAAGAAAAGGCATTATAGGCTGAAGAAGTTGCTTGTGCAAAGACCTGGACAAGTGAGAGTCTTGTGGTTTCTGAGAATGTCACAAAGTTCAGTGCAACTGGAAGATAAAGTACTAAGAGGGCAGAAGATCAGGCTAGAGAAATAGGTGTGTATCAGTTACCTATGGCTGGTAACAAACCTTCCAAAGACTGATTTTAGACAACATTTATCTATTTTTTTTAAGGTTTATTTATTTATATATACAGAACAGGGGTAGAGGCCAGAGGTGCTGAGGTGGTGTGAGGGTTCACCAGAGATAGAGTGGGGAGCAGAACAGGCAGACTGACAAAGTACACTGCTGAAGGGAGCAGCGGGCTGGTTAGGAGAGGTCTGCCACACCATGTGGTCACCTCCAGGACAGGCGGGGATCAAACTCATGCTGAAGTGGCTTTAGCTTCTTAGTGCTGTGCTTTAACCCGTTGTGCCACCAGGGAGGGCCTAGACTGCATTTATTTTATTGGCTCTTAGAAAAGTCATGATGCACTATTGCTTGAAAACAGAAAAATGTGTCATGACTTTTTCCGACAACCCAGTATTTGTGCATGATTCTATGGGTTGTGTTCAGCTGGGTGATTCTTCTACTGGTCTCACTTGAGGTATCCATGTGGGTGCAGGCATCTGGATACTGCAGGGGATACAGCCTGTCTCTGCTCCACAGGTACCCAGGATTAATTAAACTGCACTTCTCGTGGTGTTAAGATGATGAAAGCAGAACCTGTAGGACCCTCTAAGAGGAAGCAGGTGACAGCACAACCCTTGCATCCTGGGCATGGAATTCACACACTGTCATTTATGTCACATTCTGTTGGTAAGAATGAGACATGGCTACCCAGATTCCAAGAACAGGAAAGTGGATCACACCTCTTGATGGGAGGAGCTGCAAAGCCACATTGCAAAGGGTACAGGGAGAGGAAGACTTGTGCTTTCTTTGCAGTGTCCTACAGGGAGGAAATTGTGAAGACTTGCATACAAGGTAGACAGAAATTTATCCTGATGGCAAGACGCCATCAGAATTCAGTTGTGTGTTTTTGTTTTGTTTTAAGATTTCTTTCTTTATGCACAGACCAGGGGTATAGACCAGAGGGGTAGGGGCAGTGAGACAGAGTGGGGACAGAAGAGGCAGACTGACTAAGTACTCCCTGGTCAGTGATTGAACTCGTTCTCAGGCTATGGCTCTATGGCTAGAGCTTTGCAATGCTGCGCTTTAACCTGTTGCACCACCAGGGAGGGCCCAGTTGTTTTGTATTGAAGCACTAAGGTGCTAGAAGTTTCTGCTTAGCCTTCCCTATTGAGGAGCCTTTCCTCTCCTGCTAGCCTCGCCATTACTGCCAAAGTCGTCATGTCAGTTCATCAGAGGTATAAAACAGGTGTGCGCCAATCAGAATTCTTCCTTTGGGTATTTTTTCACCTTGAAAATGAAAGTTGGTCTCCTGGGCCCTGAAGCTGTTAGATGCAAGCCTTGGGCAGTGCTCTGCAGTTGTGTTTTGAGCTATGTGAAGAAAACTACCCTGCACAGGGCTGAACGCCGTGGAATCCACTATTCCTATAGTGCTCTCTGCTAGGCTTGTTCAGAGATGATCTGTCTCTTGCATTCAAGCAAGTGCCACCTAATCCAAAGAAAGGTTAACATCTAGAAATAGGGAGTAGCAAGGGACAGCATGAAAATAGGAAACTAGTTGAGTTTGCGTCTCATAGTTATTGGGACGTTAATTTGACTTTTAGGTTCTTCCTGACATTTAATAAAGCTGATGTCTTTTGTGTTCGGATGCAGCTACCCTCCTCTTCCTGATAGTTTTCAACTGAAACTCTTGGAATTTCTTCCCAATAATCAGATTAGTAGGAAACAATTATATTTTGGTGTTTTTTTTTTTCCTTTCTTTTATACATATGTATGTGTACATGTACCCATGTGTGATTTCTTTTTCAGCTCTTGCCTGGTTGACCAGAACCTTCAGAACTGTGTTCTGTAATAGCAGTAGTATTCAGCATGCTCTGTCTATTTCTGACTTTAGAAGAGATACTCTAACGGTTTCTTCTTGGGTGAAGTTCTTACAACTCTTACCTATGAAATACTCTTCATCGTAGTAAGAGCTTTTCTTCTTTCAATGTAAATTTAATTTGAATTTTTAAAAATTAGAAATAGAGGCCCTCCCTGGTGGCGCAGCGGGTTAAAGCACAGCACTGAGAATCTAAAGCCGCTTCCGCATGAGTTCGATTCCCGCCTGCCCCGGAGGTGACCACATGGTGTGGCAGACCTCTACTGACCCACCCGCTGCTCCCCTCAGCAGTGTACTTTGTCCATCTGCCTGTTCTACTCCCCACTCTGTCTCTGGTGAAGCCTCTCGCCGCCCCTGAGCCTCTGGCCTGTACCCCAGTTCTGTATGCACAAATAAATAAATCTTTAAAAAAAAAATTAGAAATAGAAATCCTCTCTTTCCAAATAATCTGAGTAATGATCCAGCTCATCATTACTTTTTCCTTAATTGATAAATAAATTATATTAGAGTATTTATTAAGAATGAATCGTCCTTACACTCTGCAGTAACCCCTACTTGTCCTAAGGTAATTTTGTTTTCCTCAATCCTGAATTGTATTTGCTCACATCAGCAGGCCTTATTGTTAAGAGTACTTTAGTAAATTGCAACTTGTATGTGTCATAGACAAGCTTGTATTTTATAGTCATAAGCTTTGTTTTATACCGTAAGACCTATAGGTTTGGGTTAGAAAAGATGAAACTTTCTTCTTTTTTCTTTTCTAAAACTGTTTAAATACAAAAGGAAAATCCAGATCAGTTCCCTGAAAGCATCTCTTTGGTAGTGATAAATATCTTTGATAATCATTTTACTCTCTTCTTTTGTTTAGGGCTAATCAGATCTTTTCCCTCCTTCAATTCAACCAATTTTGGTAATTTATATTTTCTAGAAAATCATTTGGGTTATCTAAACTTACAAAGTAATATGCATAAAGTATAGTATATTCTTTCATGGTCTTTATTCATTTTTTTTTGTAGTTACAGTCTTTCTCATTTCTAATATTATTTAAATGTTCATTTCCTTTTTTTCTTTGTCTTTCTGCCAAACCTGTTAGAAGTCTGTCAGCTTTGTAGGTCTTTCCAAAGATTGCATGCTTTCATGTCTTAATCTACATGTATATATCTTTTCTAATTTGTCTTAAATTTCTTTAAATTTGTTTTGCTTTCCCTACCTTTTTTAGTTGAATAATCAGCTTGCTTAATTTCGGGTAAAGTTTTCTAACGAATCATTCAAGATTGTATTATTGGGGCTTGTTCAGCACCATCTTTTTTTGACATAAAATGTTTTCGATTTGATTCATTTTTAATCTATAAATCAGCTTTTGTTTTCTCTGTGACATAAGAAGAATGAATGTTCCTGAACAGTTTCTACTTATTGAAAAATGTTATGGAAATTTTCTTTTGTCCTAGAAGGTATATAGTTTTCTCTTTATAGCGCCTTGTAGAGAGTAGACTTGTCTTATTGGCCAAGCCTCTTTCTCTTACTATATCCAAATAAGACAATCTCAAATTATCAGAGTAGTCACTGAGTTTCTCATCTTTTGAACAAATGTTGACTTCTTAAACGAGAGCTATTTTAAGATCTATTCAGGAAATTCAAGTGAAAAATCAAGGAACAAAATGGACATATCACTCGTCTTTCCCTTCAACTCCATGTACCGTCAGTACCAATCGGGACATGCAGATATCAAGGGGGTTAATGCTGGAATGACTCAGAGTCTGATCAGTTTAGTTCAATACTATTTACAAACCCCTCACATCTTCTATAAGCATCACAATAATCCTCTGAGAATTAATAGGCCCCTGGGTGCTGCTTAAGGAGATTAGGTGGAGCCAGGTACAGAACCTGGCTCTTCCAGTTGGAAGTTCACGCTTCTTTCTACTATCTCATGCTAAACAGGCAACTCTCTAGAAGGCAGAAAATGTCATCCCCACAACCCCTGGTGAGGATTAGGAAAAGGAAGGCGGGGTCTGACGAATTGGGTCTCCTCCATTGTGTAACCTCGGTGTTTGTCTCATTTGAGATCCCCGCAGTGAAGTTGAACGAGCTGCTGGAGAACTTTTATGTCACTGTTAAGAAGAGCGACGGCTCAGACTTCCTGGCTACCTCGCTCCATGCCATTCGCCGAGGCCTGGACCGCATCCTGAAGAATGCAGGTGTGGGCTTTTCCATCACCAGCAGCACCTTCAGTTCTTCCACCAAGAAACTCAAGGAGAAGCTGTGGGTGCTGAGTAAGGCAGGGATGTCAGGAGCACGGTCGCGCAACATCGTCTATTTCTCCCTCTCTGACGAAGAAGAGATGTGGCAGGCTGGGTGTCTAGGGGATGACAGTCCCATCACTCTCCTGTCCACGGTCGTCAAGTACAACAGCCAGTACCTGAACATGCGGACGCTGCAGGAGCACGCCGACCTGATGTATGGAGACATCGAGCTGCTCAAAGACCCCCAAAACCAGCCCTACTTTGCCCGGACAGATAGTGTCAAGCGGGAGAGCCGGAGTGGATCCACGAGAGTGTGCCATGGGAAGATCTATCACGAGCACTCCAGGGGCCACAAGCAGTGCCCTTACTGCCTCCTCTACAAATACATGTACATCCACCGGCCACCCACCCAGATGGAGGCCAAGTCCCCTTTCTACCTGACGGCCAGGAAGGAGGCCACAGACATGGGCAGTGTGTGGTACGAGGAGCAGAGGATGGGGCTGCGGTCCCTCCGGGGAATTGTCCCAAACTTAGCCAAGAAGGTCAAGCTGGAAAACTGTGAGAACTTCACTTTTGTCTCCTTTACTCAGGTCTCCAGGAGGCTCGGCTCCCACAGCTGCTGCCAGTGAGTCTTCCCTCCATGCAGGCCAAGGCCCGAGTTCTGAACCCGAGTTCTGAGGCGGCTGGGAGGACCATGACTTCATGGGCAGGCTGGTCGGCGTCCATGTGACCTGCTGTTCCTTTGACTTTTGAGATTTTTAACTGAACGTAGATGAGTCTCAGTGATTCGGATGGTTTCTCCAAATGCTTGTCACCTTTGCTAAATTATAGAATCTAATACCATGTGTAATTGCTACATACACAAGAGTGAGGCAGTTCATTTTATCTAGTGCCTTTTTAGCACAGATTTTCCTCAAATGAAAAAAGAAAAAGCCCTGGTTAAGTAGTCATAAAAAAAAAAAAATCCCAGTAGCCTCGTAGCTTTAGAATGTTATGAAGACTCTCTACGCTTTGTGGAATTAACACTCGTAATTAGGAACTAGAAAGAGGCAGACGTGTTAACTATTTCCAGGAGAAAAATTGCACTTGCCACTGCTTTCTATTTTGCTGATGCATCTGTGGGTTCCCGGCGCCCCGTAGCCTCCCTGAGTGAAAGATGGCGACGCTGCGGTCAGCCGCACCAAGGGCTCGGATCACCGGCGTGAACTTGATTTCTTAAAAAAAAAAAAAAAAAGTGTACCAAAAGGTGTTTGTGAGGACAAGGTTTCCAGTGAACTATGTTTGTACCTTGAGGGGATTTCCAATGGTGAAAGGACTTGGTGGCTTGGAAAAGCAATCTGTGATCAAAATGTGAAAAACCTGAAGCGGAAGTGCCTACATCTTATTTCTTAGCACCATGTGAAAACTATTTTCACTTGAACAAATTTTTTTTTTTTAATTCTTTGTGTCCTGCAGTTGTTCTGTCAGCATAGCACACTGAATCTGTACAGCCATTTTCAGGTTAACCAGGAATATAAAAAAAAAAAAAGTTGCAAAGAAACCAAATTCTAAAATGTGTTTTAAAGAGCTTTGGAATATTTTTGTCAAAGTTAAAACCTTTTCAGCCACAATAGATGTCATTATTTTAGGTTGGCACCAATGCTTGGGACACAGTGACATAGCAACCTACCAGGTAAGCACACCCAGCGTTACAGACAGTGTAAAATGGAAGCATGGTGATAGGTTATTAAAGCAATTTGAAATCAGGTGAAATTTCACTCCGGGGAATTTTTTACCTGACTGCATGTTATTGAAACATCATCAAACTTTCTAATAACTCCTCTGATTGAAAAGTGCAAAAGAAGTCCAAAGAATGCTAATTAATAGTAGTACTATTTCTAGGGATCTTTATTTTGTATCTGAGGAAAGACTGCTAAATTTTTACCATTATGTTCCTGTGTATGAGTTCCAATCCAAAATTAGATCTTCCATGTAAACTCATTTTAAGGAGTTCTAAAGTCAGTCCTTTCTTTTGCAAAACATTTTGATATTTGTTTTAGTTATTTCTCAAGTCATTCAGTAGTCTTTCAAATAAGTAATGCTTCCTTTCCCAGAGAAGACTCAACCAACGCTGCCTTAAGGTGTAGTGCTGTTTCCTTTTTAGTTACTGCACATTTCTGATTTTGTGTACTCGTTGGTCTTTCCCAAGTATAGGTTACTTTTGATATGTCTCCATCTGTATGTAAATAACAGGCAATATTTAATAATTGGTGTTTTGATTTGATATTGCATATTGTTCTATTGTGGTTTCCTTTGCGATTTTAGGGTTTTGATTAGGAAGAGAAAACATTAGTATGGCTTCCTTTAGTTTGCTAAACACCCAAAGGACATTTTGTTTATAATAAGCAGGTGGTGTTTTTCTTTTCAGTTCTGCACTGAACAGAAATAAAACCTAGGTGAACTACTGGCCAGAAACTTCAGCCCAATTAAATAAAACCACCATTTTTATTTAAAATTGATTCAAGAAGTAACTGTCATTAGGAAACACTGGGATCTCTTCAGATTTTAACATTTTCAAAAGTAGCAGTGACTGATGCAGTTTGTTCTCTTTCTGTTGATATTACTGGTGACTTTTCATCAGTTGAATAACCATCTCTGCCTCAAATTTGTTCCTTATCACCTATTTGATATACTATAACTCCCTAGAGTTCTAAAGCAAATGATTACCAAAAAAAAAAAAAAAATCAGGAGGAGGAATCTTCAGTGATGTCTAATGTGATAAGACTGTATCTTGGCATGTTGAATACCTGCCTGCCTCTGTGGGTTGGGGTGAGGAAGAAGCACATTGATCAGATACCATTCTGCACTGTCCATAGTTCTAGATATTTGCATAGTTGTGTATTTGTGTGTAGCTCTGAAGTCTGTGTGTATACACACACTTCAACTGTACGTATGGCAATGTCTAGTCAACCTGCTGAAATAGCAAAGCACAACCCACCTATGTGGCCATGTCCATGCTCAGAGTATCCAGGGAGGGGCAGCAGGGGCCCAGAAGAGCCAGTTCTAATTGGCCTTCTACTAAGTCACTTGGTCAGTTTCACTAGCCAGCTCTAAACCCACCGCAGAGTCCATGATCTTGTACAGAAACCAGGAGAAAAGATCTCAGAGAAGGAAGGGGGAAGATTAAGAGCATTTTCTCCATTTGATTTAAATTGCATTTACTCAAAAGTGGTAGTGAATACCAAGCATGGTCACAAGTTGCTGCCTGCTGCATCAGCAAGAGGGTGCTGTAGGTGTTCCTTGAGGACCTATGGCCTCCCCTCAGGGAGCTCTTGAACCCAGCAAAAGGGCCTCTGCTGGAAAGTGAACTCTCCCGAGAATCCAGCAGAGAGCTAGGGCATCAGCTTGAAGGGCATGACTCAGATAAACCTACCGGGTTTAGCACAACACTGGGCATATATAGTAAGCATGCAATAAATGTTTGCTCTTTCAGATGCAACTCTTAGTAACAGTAATAATAATATTCAGGCAGTCTGCACTGTACCCCTTATTTCTTCCATTTTGAGGATTCCTCCCTAAACTGTTAAACTTGAATGAGAAACCAAACCTGATAATCTAGTCACAATTACACTCATGATTCTACCTCCAATACAACCAAGTCCCAATACCTCAGATATGAGCAGAAACAAGAACAGAGAAGGCTTAAGAGGCTTTATGAAAAGGCTTTTTGTTGTTTAGTGTGTTTGTAGAGGGCACAATAATGGAAGTACCTAGCCAAAATCGTGAAAGAAACAGGCTTCTGGGTCATGTGGCATTCCTAACTTCTTAGCTTTCGTGGCGTTATATGCTGCCTTGACTGAAAGAGGTTTGAAAAAATGAAAAACTGTTACGTTGATTTTTATTTTAATTCAACTTTATTAAAATCATCAAGTACTATACTCATTCATAGACAGACATTGGGGGAATCTGGGCAAAATAGCCTTAAGTGGAAGCTGAAACCTCTTGCTGTGCTAGAAAGATGACTGCCTTCTTCTGGGGGTTCTGGTTCTGTCACTGCTTCCTTGGCAAATTCTGGTCTTGGGTGCATAGGGGACTGGTTACAGTGACCATTCAGTATTGCACTTTTGCAGTTTCTCAAGGCCATAGAATTAAGAAGTAGCACAAGTAGGAAGAAAAATGCCTAATTTATGTCATGGAGTGAATCTCCTAATTCAATGCTTGTCACTCTATGGAAGCCTCTCCTTAGGAATAAGATTTTTCTTGAATTTTCAAATTTCATGACTTCTAAAATTATTTTTGCTATCCTTAGGCAACAGAATGTTGATAATATTTCTCAGTATAGACTAACAATGACCACATTGTTACTACTTCAATCCGTAAACAGTGTGTAAGTGATACCCTTATCAAACACACATCACATTGTCCCTTTTATTGACTCTGGATTGCTAAATATTTTTGAATGAGTAACCAGTTGCCTTTAGGCATCAATAAATCCAAACAATAAAGACCTCAAAGAATTAGCAGTTTCTCTACATGAGCTCCCATTTAGTCTAAGAAAGGTCCCTACCTATTTTAAGCTACTAACTAATAAATAACCCTGAATAGAAGACTACAGTAAATGTTTTGATTTTATGTAGATCTTCAAAATACTGTTGCCTTGGGGTGAATTTTTATTGCTCTGTAGTGAAAGAAAACCATTCAGTTCTCTAGACTGTGTTCTAAAGTGAAAATATTTGTTGTATGTTTCCATATAAGTGAAACACCTTAACTAAAATATGGAGTGAGTGGAAGGAGAGAGCTCAGTGGTGCTCCAAGGCTGGGGTCCGTTTCTGAAAGGCCAGCTGATCTCTGAAAGTTCTGTGTGTTCTGTATCCATGTATTCAGATACCACAGGATTTCCCAAAACTCCTCTGCAGGAGGCTGCCTATTTTTCAGGCGAAGTCTGCCTGTAACCCTGCTGATGTTGAATATTTCTAGTTCTTTGTAGCCTCCGAGAAATCTAGAAAAGATCCCCCAACTTTAGTTGTTGACGAGAATCCCATTTTTATGCTCAGTTAATGCATCTCTCATAGAAGTTAATAAATTCAGGAAATATTTATGAAGACCCACAAAAAGATCCCCAATTTATATGGATTAATAGTTGCATATTGCTTTCTTTGCCTTTAATAGCAATTAGATTGGCCCCTATCCTCCACTGGTTTGCAAATGGGCTCATAAATATTTTATGGTCAGTATAACTTATTTGATTAATTTACATTTAACTGTAGTTAAATTGATTTGTTCAAATAAAAGTTTCTAGATGGTTTAGATTTGACTAACACCCTATGGTAAGTGCTTCCTCACAGCTGCCTCATTCTCTCATTTAAATCTCACCACCACTCTGTGGGGGAGCTTTAGTTATTCCCACTTTACCGACTGAGGAGCCCATACACCAAGAAATTAACAAAGTTTCCCCAAATCTCACAGAGCTAATAAATTGGAGAACTTAAGTGAAACCCAAGTCTTCTGACTCCAAATCCAGTGAAAAGTGTTCCATCCATTGGACCAAACTGCCTTCTTCAGCCCTTAAGAGGACACAGAGCTTTTTTTTTTTAAAAAAATCAAGCAGTTTCTAGTTGATTGTCCAAAAAATAATCACACCTTACACGTGCTTCTTACTCATTGACTAGTTACTTGGTATTTTAGTTCAGTGCTTCCTGAAAACCTGATAATTTGCTGCCTGCTGCAATGAACGCTTCTAGCCAGTGAATGACTTAGCTGTTATCTAGCTTAACGGGTATCGAACATGCCCGCTTATTCTAATAAAAGTCAGGTGGTTTATAAACCATTTTTTTTGTTTGTTTGTTTTCTTTGTTGTTTCTTTTTTTAATAGTTGCACCCATTTTGACATTTGTCATTGCTTAAAATGTAAAGAAATTCCTAATCTATATCACAGTTACATGCTCAGGTTTTTAAACTTTAGCATTTTAATTTTGGTGTCAGAGGATGTTTATAATCTTTAGGTTAAAGTGCCCTGGTAGCAAATGATCCTTATCTAGTCATTTGTTTTCTATTCTTCTTTCCTTTCTCAAGGCATATTTATTTTCTGTTTGAAGTCTAAAAAAACAGCGTTACAGCCTACTCTGAGACCAGCTAGTCAAATGTCTCCATTTTTATTGCTTAGAAAATGAAAGCCAAGGGATAGAAAGGGCCCATCCAAGATGAACCAAGACAAGAAGCAATAGAGAATCAGAACTAGAAAATTAGCCCAGCACTCATAGTTGGGAAGATTTGGACTTTTAAAAAATAATTCATGAAACTACATCTGGCAGTGGCATCTGACTGTCAGACACTCCCAATGAACTGCTGCCTTTCCAGAAAAAAACTGATGAAAACCCAGAAGAAGGTCAAATCTCAATTCCAGAAACTAGAATCTCACTACAGTTTATGAAGCATAGAGAGGTGGGTTCAGTCATACTCCACTGTTTCCCTGGTTTCACTACATGAATTCATACACAAACAAGAGGCCCTGTGAGTAAGAAATG